ATTGTTTGTCTGTTGGCAAGTCCTCTTGGAGGCTCCATGTATGATGAGATTAATCTGATGTCAGCTTACCTCATGATCTAATCGGTGTGGGATGTTTATCCTAGTGTATACTATTTGTATTTATTATTCCTGTGGGTACTGCCCCTTTTTCTGGAGTGTATAAAAACCTGTGTTTTCTGTTCAATAAAGAGTTTCGGTTTTGGTATCTAAGATAGTCTCATCTAGTCTTGGGTGCAATGTCTCTCTATAATACCATAGTCCTGTATCCCAGCAACGAGGAAGCAGTTCTCTGATGGAGTCATCCAATCGGGGGTGACAGATGTTCTGTCACAGTAAATAACCCCATACTGTTGTAGTAGAAGCCCCTTCCAAGGATCTTCCCCTGCAGATGCCAAAGAACAGGGAGAGATCATGTGACCACATAACAGTGCTGCAGGAATAAGATGATTCAAATAAAATTATAGTGACATGATATACATTATATGATTTATGTGAATGAATTATGGCAATTAACACTTCTCTCTTTAGTATCACTTTAGATAAAGTGGTCAGGTAATTGCAGTTAAATACTGTCTTCATTTAATGACTACACATCTATATAGTTAATAATAAAGTATAGAAGAGCAAGGAAATAAAATTATGAAAGTGAAATCAAAATTGACTTTCTGGCAAACCTTGTAGTAATATCTCGAAATCTGTGCTCATTACTATTACACTATACTTCTTTAAGAAATTTGATGTAGGCAAATGAAAAATGTGATTGGTTGCCCTACGTTACAGTTGTTGAAGTGTCTGCCAAGATTCTGCTGAGAGGTAGAAGTTTCCAGTATTACAGGTGCCGCAGTTGAGCTTTGCAAGATGACAGGTTGTTCAAACATTTCAAAGCCTTAAATGTCATATCTTCAAACCTTCCACTCAGGAAATTAAAACGAAATGCTGTTCTAGCCGCTTTCTTCCCCCCATTCTCGCCTTCTTTTAAGATACATCTGTGTCACATCAAAAAGCTTTAATGTACAATAATTTAAGTCATTTTCAATTAATGTTTGATTTGAAGATCAACATTAGTTAGCAAGATAATTGGCCACTTATGTTACTAAATACTACTGCATGTTTTATTGATAGTGATATGTCTTTTTGATAATGCATGTCAGGTGCAGTGACATCTTTTTGTGTCTCTAGCATTGTAAGTCTTTGAAGGTTATTTATGAAAGCAGCTTTTTCTGAAAAACTAAGACCCGATATTGGTTAAGTTAAGTCGGATGAGTTCTCTGCTCATAAATTTCAGGGGAAAAAAGGGCAAATTTATGTCTACTGTTATATCTGGGGAGCTGTGGGTGACACAAAGGAAATACAATAGCTTATGGCCATGAAGAACATAAAGCAATTTGCAGTATTATCATTTATGTGGACAGTAGATAAATGAGTCACTGGGCTCAAACATAATCTTAAAGAAAATGAAATCCAAGACATTTATGTATATTCATATCTTGAGCAGGTATTTTACTCAATTTTTGTTTGCTTGCTGTCATATTAGTGCAATCATATTTCATATGCAGATTTTATTGGTTCCCCCTCTAGAAAGCGTCTGAATGGCAGTGCAGCCAGTATCTTTGCTGAAAGATTGTTAAAAAAAAATCAAGAATAGAATAGGCCATTTGGTATTGTGTATGGTTTTCCACAATACATCAGTCTACGCGAATCAAGAACCATTAAAGCATAATCAGGGTTTAGCAATAAAAAATGTTTTCAATAAAGTAAAGCAAGTTATATTACTAATACTAAAACGATCACATACAATTGTAAAATTTAAAAAAATGTATATTACTAGTACTGTATAGTAATGACATATTTAACATTATGTTGTATGTTTATTTGAAAGTAATTGCAGTATTATAGGGATGCTGTACCATATTTAATTGTTGCGTTGCTTATAGATATCTGTATACTCTCCCTTTAGCTGCTTACTGTATTTTAAGACATTCATTTAGCCTTCTGTATCATTTGCTGAAATAAAATGTTAGCCAGATTATGTTTTTCTACTAAAAAAGCGCTTGACTGGTATTCTTTCAAAGATAAAAAAGGAATAGTAAGTGGTCTCAGCATATTTTATTGGGGATCATAGGCAGTGGACAGGCATCTGAAGGTGCCTTCTAACTAATTTACAATGACAACAGTGGTTACAGTGGCAATGGCAAAATGCATCTTTTGGACTGGCGCAGTCAGATTCCATATCTTAACCCCATAGAGATGCTCTGGAATGACCTCAAGAGAACGGTTCACACCAGACATCCTACAAACATGTCTGAGCTGAAACAGTTTCCTAAAGAGGAATGGTCAAAAAATCCTTCTGATCCAGAGCTATCAAAAATGCTTGCTTGAAGTCATTGCTGCCAAAGGAGATTCAACCTGTTATTAACTTAAAGTATTCACTTACTTTTTCCTCCAGCACTGTGAATGTTTATTAGGTGTGTTCAATAAAGGCACGAGAAATTAGAACTGTGTATGTGTTATCAGCTTAAGCACATTGTGTTTGTCTATTGTTGTGATTTAGATGTAGAACAGATATTCTGTAGAACATGCTTTATGGCATATTACTGCAGAAAAACAGTTCATTCCAAGGGGTTCACATACTTTTTTTTGCCATTGTATTTGCTGCTTTACCATTTTTTGTTTTGTTTGTCCTCCGCATGAGTACTTTAAAGTAGTTGTAAAGTATCAACATTTTTTACCTTTGTGCATTCTATGCAATACTTACCTGAGCCCCATCACGATCTAGTAATGTGAATGAGAGCCTCGGCTTTCCAAGGACTCTCCCTCCTCATTGGCTGAGACAGCAGCGGGAGCCAGTGAGGCAATGAGGAGAGAGAGGAGGCAGGGTCGAGCCAAGGCTCTGTGTGTAATAGACATGCAGAGCAGCAGCTCAGGAGCAAGCTTGCTTGGCTGCCCCTATATCAAACTGCTTGCTGTGGGGGGCATTCGGCAGGAGGGAGGGGCCAGGAGTGCCAGTGTGGGACCTGAGAAGAGAAAGATTGGGGCTGCTATGTGCAAAACCACTGCACAGAGCAGGTAAGTATAACATGTTTGTTATTTTCAAAAAAATAATTGCCTTTAATATTTTAAAGTTTCTCTGCAAGCATTAACCCCCCTACTCAGACACACAGTCATTGCCTCCCCCCTAAATAATTATTATGATATTTAAAAATATCCTAAGATAGAAGCTCCATTTACTTACCTAAATCTTTGGTAATGTGAAATGTTCAGAGTCTTCTATCTTATTCTCTGAAGAACAGAAGGACCTTTCTTTGGGTGTCCTCGCTGCTGCCTAGGTGCGGTAGATACTTCCTACTGACTATCCTATCAGGCCCCAGAAGATTGCTTGGCAGACTGGTTGGCATGAACACAGAATGCATCCCTTGATCATCTGTCTCCATACCTGAAGGAGGCATCGACAAGGGACATAAATGAGTAAAAACAAGCTTCAGAAGGCTCCTTTTTTAAAACACCTTTAAATAGGACAGAGGCAGTTAAAAGGGGGGTATAGGTATGTCCATAGTTGAGCTTTAAAATGCATTTCCACATTTGCATGCACATTGGGATAACACCTATCTTATATTTGTTACCAGCCCCTATTCACAAAACATAACTTAAAAAAATGTTTAAAGTATATACAGTATGTGTGGAAGTAGCTATCTATACATTTCCATATTAGTGCACCATCCCTGGATTGTAAACAATTTCACTCTAGGCTCCCTCAAATGAGCTGGGAAGAATTGAAGCAAATGGAACTTTAAATGTTCCCTAATTGGAACACATAATTACAAACAAATGAAATACAAAATTCCTTATTCCAACAGTTAAAATACATTAAAAAAAAATTGATTTTATTTGGGGGGGCCTAGAGGGAAAATCGTAAGTAGTTCTCATTGTTAACTGGTTCCCCCCGCCCGACCTATGGCCGAATGGCGGCCGGCAAAAACCCTCACCATATGGCATCCTTCTGGGCATGCGCAGTTTGCACGCCTGCAGAGCCGCGCAGCGGCGCAATCTCTCACCGGCCCTGTACCTCGGACACGGCCGATGACAGATCTGAGTATCGGCCCCCTTGCCAGTACCATGTGACCTGCTGTGACCAATCACAGCAGGTCATATGACAGTTGTATACAATGGATGGCTTCATTCATGCCATCCATTGTATACTAGTGTGTCTAGCTGTGAATGATCACAACGATCACATGCACAAGCTGGGCCAATCACAGCCCAGCTGTGTCATGTGATTAGCCGTGGCCAAATCACAGCTAAGCACAAAAAAAAAAAAAACACCCTGAATGAATCGATGTCATTAAGGTAAATGCTTGCTTATAGCAAAGTAATTCTTTGCTATAAGCAAATTGTGTATAAAAAAAAAATAATAATACTGATCACTTCCCCAAAGTAGTATGTTACTATGGTAACATTGTACTACTTTGGTATAGTGAAATATGAAAAACAAATCTTTAAAAAAAGAAAAAAAGTAATAAAAAATTAAAAAAATATATTTTTTTTTTCATACTGTCACCAGTCAGTGTCCCTGATCACCCCCATGCCAGTTATATGATGACACTGTACTGAACTGGTGACAGTATGTAAAAAAAAAATAGTGAAAATAATTTTTTTAATTTTTTCATTTTGTGAAAAATTATGACAAAAAATACAACTTCAAAAAACTCACCATGCCTCTTATGAAGTACGTCGGACTGTCTACTTTGCAAAAAGGGGTCATTTGGGGATATCTGTACTGTTCTGACATTCTTGGACCTCAAGAAATTAGATTGGCTGTCAGTACTTCAGGATTGACCAATATTCAGATCTATCCCATAGTTTGTGAACTCTATAACTTTCCTACAATTCAAAAATTCGATTCGACTGATTCGGCGAATTCGTGGAAAAATTTTGATTCGAGTCGAAATATATTCGCTGTGAATTTAACTTAAAAAAGGGTGTTTCTAGGCTTCAGAGAGACTTAATATTAGTGCTGAACACTGTACCTTTAATTTAAATGCCCTTGGAGTCTGCTGGGGAAGAGAAATAATACTGTCAGGCAGTATGACATGCAGATGAGTGCCGTCGATCTTAGAATCACCGCACACTTCACTCATTTGGGCAGTCACGGGGCCAAAACCAGAGTGTGGAGCCACAGTGTGGCGGTGGAGGCAGCAGCAATGGGAGGCCATACAGCACCCTATGACAAAAATGGAAACCACCAGCAGTGTGAGGAGACCTGAAAGTGGCACATGGCAGAGTGTGGCGATAGAGACAGCAGCAATGGGAGGCCGTACAGGGACCCATGACACACTCTCTGGACCTGGCAGCAGCATGAGGAGGCGGTACAGGGGCCCATGGCAGATTACGGGCCTGGCAGCAGCATGAGGAGTCGGTACGGGGGCCCATGGCAGATTACGGGCCTGGCAGCAGCAATGGGAGGCCGTACAGGGACCCATGACACACTCTGGACCTGGCAGCAGCATGGGGAGGCGGTACAGGGGCCCATGACAGATTACGGGCCTGGCAGCAGCATGAGGAGTCGGTACGGGGGCCCATGACACACTCTGGACCTGGCAGCAGCATGAGGAGGCGGTACAGGGGCGCATGACAGATTACGAGCCTGGCAGCAGCAACTTGGACAGGAGGACGTTCAGCTTCTGCACCGTCTGGTGCGTGCTCGCAAACTGTTGTCTCTTGGAAACGGATTCCAAGAAAGACTGCTGACGGAATCCGTGAAGAGGAGTAGCAGGAGAAGGAGCATCTGAACGAGCGGAATATGCCAACAAGCGACAACAGGGGCCCATGACAGATTACGGCCTGGCAGCAGCATGAGGAGTCGGTACGGGGGCCCATGGCAGATTAGGGGCCTGGCAGCAGCTATGGGAGGCCCGTAATCTGCCAGCACCCTATGACAAAAAATGGAACCCACCAGCAGTGTGAGGAGACCTGAAAGTGGCACATGGCAGAGTGTGGCGATGGAGACAGCAGCAATGGGAGGCCGTACAGGGACCCATGAGAGACTCTGGACCTGGCAGCAGCATGAGGAGGCGGTATAGGGGCCCATGGCAGATTAGGGGCCTGGCAGCAGCTATGGGAGGCCCGTAATCTGCCAGCACCCTATGACAAAAAATGGAATACACCAGCAGTGTGAGGAGACCTGAAAGTGGCACATGGCAGAGTGTGGCGATGGAGACAGCAGCAATGGGAGGCCGTACAGGGACCCATGAGAGACTCTGGACTTGGCAGCAGCATGAGGAGGCGGTATAGGGGCCCATGGCAGATTAGGGGCCTGGCAGCAGCTATGGGAGGCCCGTAATCTGCCAGCACCCTATGACAAAAAATGGAACACACCAGCAGTGTGAGGAGACCTGAAAGTGGCACATGTTTGGGGCATGATTCATGGCGGATTTAGTCAGTTGTGTCAGGAACTGGTGGTTTGAAATCCAGACTAATCCACGCCTGATTCATTTTCACAAACGTCAGTCTCTCCACACTTTGGGTGGACAGTCGTGTCCTCCGCGGAGTTGCAATACCTCCTGCCGCACTAAACACGCGCTCCGATGCCACGCTACTGGCCGGGCATGACAGCCTTTCAAGGGCAAATTCAGCTAGTTGGGGCCAAAGGTCAAGTTTCGTTGCCCAGTAGTCAAGGGGATTGTCTACCTCGGTTGGCAGGGTGCTGTCCAAGTAGGCCTAAGCCTGTTGTTTGAGGTCCTGCTCCAGGTCCACCTGATGCTGCTGCTGCTGCTGCTGCTGCGGCTGGTTAGTAGTTTCCTCACTGCGCTGGTGAAGAAAGCTACTCATCATCGACTGCAGACTGAGGCAGCCGCTGCTGGTGGAGCTGCCACTGCTCCTACCACCCCCCACCCCCCCCTGCTGCCATGGCAGCGGAACGCGAGCGCACAGGGCCCACAGTGTCTGAGGATGGACGTTGGCGCAGACAGGCAGAGACCAGCTGACTACATAGGTGGTTTTTATAGTACGTTATTTTGGCCTCCCTCTCAGCAGGTGTGAAAAAGGCCACCATTTTTGAACGGTAGCGAGGGTCCAACAAGGTGGACAGCCAAAAGTCATCCCTCTGTCTGATGGTTATTATTCGGCTGTCGCTACGCAAGCAAGCGAGCATGCTATGGGCCATTTGTGCCAAGGAATGCGAGGGACTCCCTGCCTCCATCTCCACAGCATACTGCCACGGTGCGTCTGGGTCCCTCTGTCTCCTCCTCCTCCTCCTCTACCAGATGCTCCTGCTCCTCCACTCCTGTCCGCTGAGTGGAAAAACCACCCATTTCACTCAATAATTCCTGAGCACCAATGTCCTCCTCTACCTCCTCCTCTTCTTCCTGTCCTGCCCCCACAGGGGTCATGTGGCGTTGAGATCTGTGCGCCACGTCTACCGCACCCTGACCAGCCATTGTTAACAGCATTTGTTCCAGGACGTGCAACAGAGGAATGACGTCGTTCATCCCCATAGTCCTGCCGACTCACGAATAGCGTGGCCTCCTCAAAGGGCCTGAGCAAGCGCAGGTGTCACGCATGAGCTGCCAATGGCTGACATCTAAGTTACACAGGGAGTACCTTTATCCGCTTTTAACATCAGGAAATCTGTGATGGCCTTTCGCTGTTCGCAGCAGCAATGGGAGGCCGTACAGGGACCCATGAGAGACTCTGGACCTGGCAGCAGCATGAGAGCGGTATAAAAGGGGCCTTAAAAA